TGCTGCTGCTGCTGAAGTGGCAAGAGATGTACATGCAGCAGCAGACCCAGACGATGAGGCAGCAGAAGCAGCAGCATTTTATGAAGCAGAAGATATGGCCTACGTAGAACCAGCAGCAGCAGGTGCAGCGGAAGCAGCAGCAGCAGCTGCTGCTGCGGTCACAAATGGTGCAACAGCTGACGAACTAGACTGTACAGGAGGAACAGCAGCCGCAGCAGCAGCAGCAGCAGCAGCTGCAGCAGCCGCAGCAGCAGCAGCAGCCGCAAAAGCAATTGAGCGAAAAGTTGCTTTGGAGGCTTCCCGCGATGAGGTTTTGGCCCGCAGCAAGAGCAGCAGCAGCAGCAGCAGCAGCAGCAAGGTGCGGCCGCTGCTGCCAGTGCCCAGTGTAGTTTGTCTGGCGCTGCCCTCTCCAGCAGCACTTGCTGAGCTTTTGCTGCTGCTCTCTCGGCTGCTGAAGGGGCTTCCGTCTGCTGCTGCTGCAGTTCCAGAAGGGCTGTTGCCTGCTGCTGCGTGGCGGCTGGTGGTTGCTGCTGCTGCTGCTGCAGTCAGCGACATGCACGCGCAGCTGCGCCGGCAGCAAGCCTGTGCTGCTGCTGCTGCTGCTGCTGCTGGTGCCGCCGTCGAGTGTCTCCTGGCAGAGGGGCTGTTGCATCCGGAGCAGCTCGAAGCAGCAGCAGCTGCTGCTGCTGCTTCGAGCTGCTGCAGCACGGCCAGGGAGGGGCATCAAGGGCCCCGCGCTGCCACAGCAGCAGGGGCCCCAAGGCTCTTCAGTACTCTGCGTTTTGTCTTCGACCAGCGGCAGCAGCAGCAGCAGCAGCAGCAGCAGCAGCAGCAGTCAGGCGGCCCGCGCAGCGAGAGCAGCAAGCAGCTGCTGCTGCTGCTGCGGCTGCTGTGCCGAGCAGCAGTGCTGCAGCAGAGCGTGGAGACCCTGAAGACAGCAGACGCTGTTGGCTGCGTCCTTGCTGTGGCTATTGGCAGAGACACTCACAGCAGCTGCTGCTGCAGCAGCAGCAGCAGCAGGAGAAGCAGCAGCAGCAGAAGCAGCAGCAGCAGCAGCAGCAGCAGCATCAGCAAATATCGCGGCAGCTGGCGGTTTCGAGCCGAGGCTCTAAAGACCTTAGGGGGGCTGTTGTCTCACGCAGAGCTCATGGAGGTATTCCTTGCAGCTGGTGGCCAGGCTCAGCAGCAGCAGCAGCAGCGGCAGCAGCAGCAGCAGCTACTAGCTGGAGATCTGGCAGCAGTAGGCGGGGAGACGGGGGCGTCCGGGCCTAAAAGGGAATGGTACGCGACGCCTTCGGCATTCAGGAAGAGCAGCAGCAGCAGCAGCAGCAGCACCAGCAGCAGCAGCAGCAGCAGCAGCAAAGAGGGCGCGTGTTACTTAGACATGTTCCGAGAGGCCTTGGCCTCCGACGTGGCTCTTTCTCGCCGGGCCTTAAAGAGACTGGTGGGGTTTGTGGTGCTGCGGGTGGAGGCTTGGAAGTGCTTCAGAGCTGTCAGCAGCAGCTGCTGCCAGCTGCTGCCCCCAGCAGCAGCAGCAGCAGCAGCAGCAGCAGGGTGTGGCGAGGAGATGAGTGTCAAGAGAGAGGCGGGGCTCGAGGGCCAGACGGAGGTGGAGGAGACAGACCCTCTTTCAGCTCTTTCCTTTTCTGCTCCCAATGCGCCGCACAGTTCAGCAGCAGCAGCAGCAGCAGCAGCAGCAGCAGCTGGGGAAGGAGGTGACCCCGGCTTCTTGGAGCAGCTGCTGCTCGACGGGGAAGGGAAAGTTGCTGCTGCAGCAGACGCCTTTGAGCGCTGCTTGTTGCTGCTGCAGGAGGTGTCTCTTTCCCCCCTCAGTGCTGCTTCTCGAGTGGACGACTCCGTAGAGGTAACTGCAGCAAAAGCAGCAGCAGCAGCAGCACGGCAGCAGCACAGCTAGGTAGTTTGTGTCTGTAGCAGCAGCAGCAGCCGTCCGGTTTGTGCTTTGAGCAGCAGATGCAGCAGAAAGGGGTGGGAGAAGAAGGCAGCAGAGATATGATGGGTGTCTGCGGCAGCAGCAGCTGCAACGGAAGCAGCAGCAGCAGCGGCAGCAGCAGCATTTGGTCTGTGTCTGTGTCTCTGGTATCTTCTCTGCTGCAGGCAGATGTTTCGTTTGGCTTCCACCGGCGCTGCTGGGACTCGAGGCAGCTGCTGCTGCAGCACTGCAGCAGACTGCCTCTGTTCATAGAGCGTTTCATCACCAGCAGCAGCAGC